GGTGCTCTGTATAGAAGTATCAGTTAAGACATTAACAATTCCTCAACTCCTTCCCATAAGACTGTTTCTCAGTTTTTGTTGCTTTTAAAGTAGACTAAAGTAGATGGTCAGATGGTTTTCTATTCAACATTCTGTTTAGGTTATTGCATTTTTCTATGTGGTTTTCTTAAAAGAAACATACACAACCATCTGAAGAGCAACGAATGTTAAGTTTTGGGAGCAAGATCTATGATTTGTAATTGTATGATCCTGAAACATGCAATAATTTACTTACTGTTTTCTGTGCTTACAGGGTTTTTTCCATGATGCATAGTTTTGCTTTGGGTTGAAATATATAGTTTTACAAGATATAAAATTTAATGTAAGACCAAGGCTAGACATCAGGAGGCACTACTTCACTGTCAGGGTGGCTAGGAGCTGGAACCAACTTCCAAGGGAAGTGGTGCTTGCCCCTACCCTGGGGGTCTTCTAAAGGAGGCTAGACAGTCGCCTAGCTAGGGTCATTTGACCCCAGGATTCTTTCCTGCCCATGGCAGGGGATCGGACTTGATGGTCTGCTTAGGTCCCTTCCGACCATATCAACTATGAAACTATGAAGAAGTTTGTGTTTGTTTTTAATAGGACATTGTAGTTAGGCTTGCTATTTAAGTTCCTAAATAAGTGGCCAGATCTTTAGTTAATGGAATCTCTAGGACACTTGGAAGAATTGTTCATGAAATTTTATATAATTTATATGCATTCAGTTAAGTCGCATTATTTTTCCTTCCCAGTATTGCATCTAAATTAACTTTGGCTGATCTAAATCAAGTACTATACCGGTGTGACGCTGAGGAACAAGAGGATGGCGGAGGATGTTACAACATACCAAACTGGTCACCCCTTAAATATGCAGGTCTCCAAGGTAATGAATCAGTTAAGTTTTCTTGTGCAGTGAAAATTACCTACATCCAAATATCAAGATGATTTTATATCCTGGGCACCTGTTCTCTTCCCTTTTAATGGATAATGCCAATTTGCTTCTGCTTGACTAGGCTACTTGGTGCTGCATGTTAGAGTATACCAAAATCAAAGTGAGGTAAGATAATGAAACATTTTTAATGCTCTTTTAGACTGGGGAATGAGTTTCTATTTTTACCTTGCTATCACTGTTGATAATCTATTAGGAACACTTTAAGATTGTTTAACATATGGTTACTTCCAGTCAACTTATTTGGAAAACCACAGACTTTAACTAAAACCTAAAGTGGAAGTGGCAGTAGTTAAAATGTTTTATTAAATGTTTGATTTTCATTATTCCATTTAATCTATAATTATTATAATAAGATTTTACAGCTTGAAGCATGGACAGTTCTTTGCTCTATCTACACGTTTTGTGTCTTGGATTTATAACTAGATCAATTGAGCTGTGGCAGACAAGTTGGAGTACTGCCCACTCAGCAAGTAAAATGAGTCACTGGAACATAGTTGAAAGGGGTCCATCCATTCCTTGTCTCAGTACTGAAAGGTAAATCAGTTTTAAGCCCTCAGTTCAGCAAAGCACTTCACTAATTCTCAAGAATGTGCTTACATCAGTTGTGTTTCAGCATAATCTTAGGGCAGTGATTCTCAACCAAGATGCCATGAGATTCTTTTAAGGGTGCCAGCCAATATTAACACTGTTAAGTATGCAAACACCTTCATGTGATTCACAAGATAAACGCAAAGGCCATGTCCAGAAGAGTGCAGATGTTTGGTTCCCTGGGGACAAGAAGCAGCGGCTCAAGGTGCAGCACACCTTGTGCCGCTGCTGCTTGTCCCTGGTGAATGCCTGTGTTGTACCCTCTGGTGCATAGCAGGTTACCGTGGGTGGAGTAGGGGAGGCTAGGGCCAGCAACTATGCTGGCTCCAGCAGCGTTACCTGGGAGCTTCAGGAAACTGCAGCCATAGCGCTTCTGCAGCTTGGATCCTGTCTGGCAGCTGGAGTGTGGCTCAAGCGGGCCAGGTTCTAGTTTTGTGTACTGCAGCCACATGTGCTACCCCACTTTTTTTCCACAGGGGTTTTTTGACCCTAGGGTTGGAAAAAACCCCTTTGCTGCAAGGTAGGAGTGTGGGAAACACTTCCATGTGCAGTGTATGGTGCCACAGATGGGTCTACAATCTATGTTGGGTCTACAGTGTCACATACTAATTGATATCCAATTAAAACATGTTTTAGTAAAAGATCTTTAGTTCAGAACACTTCAGTCTTACAGTTTTGGATTTACTTCTGGAAACTGGAATCATTTGTGATTAACATTGGCAATTATAATTAAGTGTGGTGGCTTAATTTTTCAGGGTTAATATCAGTGATGGCAGACATCAGACCAAAGAATGATTTGGGTCATCCATTTTGTGATAACTTGAGGTCTGGAGATTGGATGATTGACTACGTTAGTGATCGTCTAATTTCACGTGCAGGAGCCTGTGCAGAAGTAAGTGAACAAAGTATTCAGTGATTAATTTCCTTTTTATTTATAGGCCATACTTACCAGGATGGCGATGGCTTATTGCTTTTTATTTTTTTTAAAGAGCCTCAACAGACACATTTTAGAATTTGGTAGCCAAAATTACCCAGATATTCCACACCTCCTTGTCCCATACATGTGCAAACAGATTTTTCAGCTCTTTGCACAGCCATGGCAAAAAACAGAGCTCTTGCCAGGATACCACTCGCCAAGTTTCATGGACCAGCTTTGAAGTATGGAATCCCTGGAGGTTTTTTCAAAGGAAAGGTCACTGCTGCATAAAACTGATTTTTTTTTTTTTTTTCCTCTCTAAAGTTGCTCAACTGGTTTAGGCCTGCAACTTTACCAGAAGTTCTATTTGAGGCAGATATCAGTGTGGAAAACTTCAGTCTGAATAAATATATTTTGTAACAGTGCAAGTAATTGAAAACAGGGCCCTATAGTGGGACATGTCAGGAAACATTAATCCAAGATTGTATTGAAAAAATCAATTAAAGCTTCAAAAGCAAAAATAAATTATAACAGATGTGTCTGGTTTTCAGTAAAACAAAGCATGACTGTAGTAGCATTAGTCCCCTGAATGTACCACTGGATAGCAGCCTGGAGTTACTAATTTTTAAAAACATTATTCTAATAGGTCGGCAAATGGTTGAAGGCCATGTTCATCTATTTAAAGCAGATACCACGTTACCTTATTCCGTGTTATTTTGATGCCATATTAGTGGGTGCATACACAACTCTTCTAGATGTGGCATGGTGTCAAATGTCTAGGTAGGTTTGGTAAAAGTAAAGTAAAGGTATGCGTTTACATTGTTTCTTACAATTTGTGTATGCAAGTTGGCTGTTTAGACACTTTTAACATGCTTGCAACAAAGGCATTTGGACTTATTACTGCATTTAAACCAGAGTCCTGCTCCCATTGGCTGTAAGAAAGTATAACACACAACTTTAAGCAGATATTTTTTTAAAATCACTTCAAAAGTGTCTTTCAACTGGAGCATATTTATTAAATTGATTTTTAAACTAAGGCAAGAGGTGAAATGTATGAAATGTATGCAAGTTTAAATTGTGAAGTTACTGAATTCAAAGGAACATTAGTAGTATTATTTATTCAACTGCTTTGATTACAGCTTTGTTCAGAATGGATCGACCTTTGTTAAGCACCTGGCCTTGGGTTCAGTCCAGATGTGTGGGATAGGAAAATTTCCTTGTCTGCCAAATCTATCTCCTGCCTTGCATGATGTCCCTTATAGGGTGAATGAAATCACAGAACAAAAGGAACAGTGCTGCGTTACCTTGGCAGCTGGTAAGTGAGGAGACAAATCACCAATGTTGAACGATGTTGAATTTATTGATCCTCATCAATAAATTAAGCAACTGTGACATTGCCTGCACAGTTGGATGGGTAAAAAATTGACTGACAGGGTGCACCCAGAGAGTAGTGGTGGACTGGTTGTACTCAACCTGGCGAGATGTGAGCAGTGGGGTACCCCAGGGTTCGGTCCTTGGGCCCGCACTGTTTAACATCTTTATCAGTGACTTGGACAAGGGGGTGGAAAGCACACTGTCCAAATTTGCTGACGACACTAAGATGTGGGGCAAGGTGGACATACTTGAAGGGGGAGAGAGGCTGCAAATAGATTTAGACAGACTACAAAAGTGGGCAGATGAGAATAGGATGGGGTTCAACGTAGACAAATGCAGAGTGCTGCACCTTGGGAGAAGGAATCCACAGCATACATACAGGCTGGGGAGTTCCCCTCTTGAAAGTACAGAGGTGGAACGGGATCTTGGAGTCATTATTGGCTCCAAGATGAACATGAGTCACCAATGTCAGACCGCAGCCAGCAAGGCCAGCCATATCTTGTCATGCATCCAAAGGTGCAACTCAACTGGTCCAGAGAGGTGATACTCCCCCTCTGCAACTTTGGTCAGGCCGCAGTTGGAGTACTGCGCCCAGTACTGGGCACTGCACTTCAAAAGGGATGTGGCCAGCCTGGAGAGGGTTCAGAGGAGGGCCACCTGCTTGGTGAGAGGGCAGCAGGACAGGCCCTTTGAGGAGAGACTGCAGGACCTGAACCTGTTCAGCCTCAGCAAGAGGAGGCTGAGGGGGGACCTGGTGGCTGCCTACAAACTCATCAGGGGAGATCAACAGCAAATAGGTGGAGCCCTTTTCTCCCCAGCATCACCTGGGGTGA